GTTTCATCATCAAAATTTGGGTATTGACCAATATCAAAATCATTACACGCAGGGTCTGTTTCTTCTTCTGAAAAATCATCAAAATATGAGTATTGACCAAGATCAAAGTCCGGGTATTGACCAAGATCAAATTTCGAATACTGACTAGTACTCACAATTTTTTTTGTTGGCTCATCATCGTCTAACTGGTCAATACGAAAACCGGAATTTGGTACTGAAAGTTGATTGGGATTTGGATTAGGGAAAGGTTATGGGTTTTGAGATTGTGTTTGGTATTGGAAATGTGGTGAAACAATATTTGTTTGGTGATGAAATTGTGGTTGAACCATTAAATTTTGAGCACCATAAACTGGGGTTGAAAAACTTAGTTGATTACTACCCGCTACTGACCCAACTTCACTACTTCTAGGTTCAACAACATACAATGTAACATCATCACTTGAAACACTAATGTAAGCAATGAATTGTTCAACATCTTCATTGTCGGTTAACAAATAAACTTTACCATTTCTCTGATAAGATAGCCTAAATCCACTTAGGGGCTCTAAATTCAATTTATTTACAACACGTAACATTAGAGTTTCATAAGTTAACTTTTTTAATGACAATTTTAGTTGAAGATTCATGGGTAAAGGCATATATTGTAAAACACCATGAACATTCTCCTATGACCCTCCAAAACACAAATCTATCCAAACATGATCAACATTAGATGATTTCATTATTGTAAATTAATTTACTAAACAAACGAGCTGCGAAACTAAAACATATTGCCGGATGGGAAATGATGTCGTTGGATATAGGAACGGATGTCGCCGGAGAGAGTGATAGATGGAGATGGAATGAGTTGTGATTTAGGGATTTAGGTTATGAGTTGCTGCTGCTGCTGCGTATTTATATACCCAAAACATTTTTGTTGCGAAATTAAAACCTGTTGCGAATTCAGAAATTGAGTTGCGAATTTGAAATTCAGTATTGCGATAGTCAGAATCTCGTTGCGAATTAGGAAAATCGCAATGCGATTACGTAAATCACAATGCGATTTTCCTAATTCGCATTGCGATTTACGTATTCGCATTGCGATTTACGTATTCGCATTGCGAATTAGGAAAATCGCAACGCGAATTTTGGAAATCGCAATGTGATAGTCAGAATCGCGTTGCGAATCTGGAAATTGATTTGCGATACCGGAGATCGCGTTGCGAATTATCGATCGCATTGCGATTTAGTTGGTCATTTTGGCAAATCCAAAAAAAGTTGGTTAAAATCGTATATTATAAGGCATTTTTGGTTACTGAGGTTATTTTCTCAAAAAAATAGCATTGAACAAGGACGTTCCCTTGTGTATTGCCTTGTGAAATTGCAGCGTTGCTCAAACTAGGGTAGAGCGTCTGATTAGAGGAGCCCAAAAGTGGCAAACCATTACTAAAAATGGGCTTTGCACAAATGATGGACTAACTGGGCTTTACATGAAAGCACCCAATGGACTGGTGTTTTGACTGATTAAAACATTATGATTTTGGTTGACAGGACTACGACTTTGATTGATTGAAGTCATGCTTTGAACCAGACTTCGAGTCAAATTGATTACAAGAAGATTTTTACTAAATAAATTTTGCTGAGAGCCTTCGTATTGGGCAAAGAGTTGCAACAAGTTTTTAGGGCTGTTGGCTCGAAGTGATCACTGCCTCAACCAATTCATACAGTCATCTCGCATACTTTCAAAAAAAATTGAAAAACGATTATTATTATCAATTCCTCTCGAATCATCCTTACACGTATCTATGTATCAATGGATTAACCGTGTACATGCAGCTGTCTTAGTTTGTTTATGGTAAAGTCAAGTGAAGATATATGTTTAAGGTTAATTTTTAAAAGCATGATCTAATTCCAAAACGGGCCAAGCAGACAGCTCAATAAGAAGGTAAGGAAAGCTAAGCAAACATAGTATTCGATAGTCAACATCGTCACCACACGATGTTGTTTGGTCGTGCAAACATCATAGACTCCATGGAATTTCTTGTACTTAACGTTGAAAATCTTAATCTAATCTCTCTAACCTATAAGAGCCGGCTGGGAAAAAAAAACTAAATTAGACAAATCAAAACAGAACATCTCTTTCATAACGAAAATTTCCTTTTCTTTGCCCTCTTTCTTCCTCAAATACTTTAAGTTTCAACTGATCAAAACCCCATCTCTTTGTTTTTGGTCAACATGAACGACTTACTCACGGTGATCATCAATCTCTTTGCCTTAATCTTTGTTAATTAAGTTTTGATTATTCTATTTCTTTTTCTTGATCAATCAACATCTTTTTCCTCGTATCTTTCTTCAATCTGACACTGAATCGGATTATGCTTTGGGGTATCTTTTGTACTAGAACTTTAACGATTTTATCACGTCCTCGATTAGGATTCGTTTGCCGGTGATGCCGAAGGCCACAGTGATATCGAAATGGGACGACAGGTTCCAGGAACCGGAAGCAACTCCGACGTGGGAATGGAAGCTTTCAATAAGCAGGTCTGCTATGTGCTTACGAAAGCAACACAATTTAGTCCTTTGTTAGTTGACTGTAATAGATAACTTATGCTCTTATTGCTCGTAGTATAGATTCAAGAGGTTGAGAAACAGGTGGAGAAGCTCTCTGGTTTACTCAGGAAACTCAAGGTATGTGAACAGTCTCATTTCTTGTGCTGTTTATTATCACAGGCTACATATAATCTAATGTGAATTATCTGCAGGATGCTAATGAGGAGTCGAAGGCTATTACCAAGGCATCCGCCATGAAAGGTATCTCGAAAATTATCGATACTAAGCAGCTTCCAGTTCGAATAATCCTTTCATTTATGTCATGTAACGTACTGAAAAGCTATCAAGAAGCGGATGGAGAAGGATATTGACGAGGTCGGAAAAGTAGCACGAAATGTCAAAGCAAGATTAGAAGCAATCAACAAAGATGTAACACTTCATCCGTGTTTTCTATTCAACATGTCTTAATTTATCGAATTTTATTTACTGATTTTGTTTTTCCCTTCAGAACTTAGCCAATCGGCAGAAACCTGGTTGCGAAAAAGGAACAAGTATTGACAGATCCAGGACCAATGTTACAAAGTATGTCTTTTTCACTTATTTTGAACCAACAGAATTGATCCATTAGTTCTTCGACATTATGAGACTATTTCTATTACATACACAACCTAATCTAAATAAAAAAAACAATTTTGGGATGTTACAATTCTCTTATTTCAGTGCGGTGGCGAAAAAATTCAAGGATTTGATGATAGAGTTTCAGGTATATCTTCCAGTATACAACTTTGTTGCCATGTTTTAAGATACTATCTGTTTTCCCATCTGTGTTTCAGACACTCAGACAAAAGATCCAGGACGAGTACCGGGAAGTTGTCGAAAGAAGGGTCACTACAGGTTAGAATCCGGCATGTACCGAGTGCCGGAACCACGAAACAATCAGATTTATTCCCCCGAATTGATCATGTTATCTTCATCATACTTGATGCTTTTTTCTTTTATTGTTGTTTCAATAGTTACCGGGACCAAACCGGACGAACAGGTGAGCCTAAGTTCGATATCAGAACCTTGGGTCTACTTTACATGAAAGTTGGTTTAATCTGTGACAATGTTTTCTTGTCTTAGACAATTGACAACCTCATTGAAACTGGGAACAGTGAACAAATTTTCCAGAAGGCTATTCAAGAACAGGGACGAGGACAGGTTTGGTTGCATCCTCTAATTCCATTGCAATGGAACGGTTTTGATACTGTGTTATGGTTTTAGATACTAAATACGGTGGAGGAAATCCAAGAACGGCACGACGCGGTGGTTGAGATCGAGAAAAAGCTTCTCGATTTACAGCAGGTATATATACAGTCTGATATGAACCCTCGACCTTAAACCCTGAACCATCGAACTAACTATTCTAATGGGAACAACGTTTTCTCAGATTTACCTTGATATGGCAGTTGTAGTTGGAGCTCAAGGAGAAGTCTTGGATAACATTGAAAGTCAGGTTTGTTCCTGTTGTAAATTATACGATAATTTAAAATTTTCAAGAGAACCATCATTCCTGTTAATCTGCTTCGGTCCATCCCTGTTGGAGTAACTATATATATTGATATTGAGGTGTTTATGGCCTGTAATCTTGCTATTTTCCCCCCTGAAATGCTGATAGGTTGCAAATGCAGTAGACCATGTACAATCAGGAACTGTTGCTCTTCAAACTGCGAAAAGCTTGCAGAAAAAGTCGAGAAAATGCATGATGATTGCCATTATCTTACTCCTCGTCATCGCACTCGTCATTGTGCTTTCTATTTTGAAGCCATGGAAGAAATGAAGAGAGCAAAAAGTAGACATCCGTGAGGAATTCCAAATTACAGTTGTTATTAGAATGCCATATATTTTTAATATTATGTCATAGAGCATCTACTTCTTGATCTGTTCGGTTTAGTCCCTACATGTTGATCAAATTATTATAGTTTCATATATTTTTATGATTGGCGCAATGATTAAGTTCAGATTTAGGAATTAATATTTGTTTTTATGGATGAAAGTTTGCATGTTTACTTTATTAGATAATTTCTTGAAATTTGTTAATCTCTTCCTAAAATATTTGACATTTCATCATGTTTATTTCAATAATGTAATCAAAGAATAAAACTTTTTATTATCCACAATTAAAGAATATGATTATTTATTATATTGTGTTAGAGTCTTTAATATACATGATTTTATGATACGCATGTTGTTAATAATAGTAGTGATATTTTAATTTTTGAATTTATTATTATTATTATTATTATTATAATTTGTGTATTTATTATATAATATTATCTCTGAATGACATTAATTGTTTTAAACATCTCGAACTGATTATTATTGTGGGAACAATGATAGATTAAGATTAGTTTAAAATTTGAATTACATTCATAAGATAAAAATGAGAATGAGATATAAATAAAATTTATAGAGTTATATGATTTTAAATCTCTCATCCAAGCTTATAAATAGTATTTATTTTTTAAAAAAGATGGCCAACAACATATTTTCATACCAATGGACATGTTCCATCGTTAACAAAAGTAAAACAGGGCTAAAAGAAATACAGGATAATGATCAAATTTTACAGTAGTATCATAACTATCTTTTATTAGACCAGCCATGTAGTAGCTCAGCTTTGCCTTACATTCTGGCCTTAGCCACGACCATATTGACTTCATTTCCGACCTCCACTGCACCTGCCCTACTCCATGTTTCCTTGAATTGCTCCTCAGTCACTCCTGCATAAATTTTACTCAACAAAACTTGATTATCAATTATCGATTTCTTTTGATCTTACGTAATTAAGAAGTAAGGATGAGCACATGATTTTATGTTAAAAGCAGGGGCGAAAATAGATTATTAATAGACAATACAAATCAATCTAAAATATATGAAATTTTGAAACTTTTATAGCAAAATTCGTCATGTAATTAAAGGTAAAGCAGTTACTTGCCTTTGCCCATGGCTGCCGTGGATGATATTCCTCCCTGTACTGTCTTTAGATACCTGTCATAAAAGTTGGCACCCGACCATTTTTGGTGAGCCAGTGTGTCCACTCCATTGTTCCTCTCTTCCCTCTGGATCTTCTCGACGTAAGCCAGCATTCCCCGCCTCGCGAAATCACGAGCGAACGTGTCGGTCACGAGCGCGTCCGCGTGGAAACCGGCTAGCGTTATGAACTGCCAACAGAAACCGAGCTTGGCTATGCTTGGGATGAAGTCTGTCATCTGTTCATCACTCATTCCTGATGCATCCCAGTTGAAGGATGGTGAGAGATTGTATGCCAACATGATTTCGGGATGCATCGATTTCACCCCTTGGGCAAATTCGGTGCACTCGTTCAGGTCGGGGCTCGATGTCTCCATCCAAATGAGATCGGCATGAGGCGCGAAAGCCCAACCGCGAACGATGGCAGCCATTACCGATCCCTTGAACCTATAGAAACCTTCTCTGGTTCTGGGCAAGTCCCAGTCCCAGAAAAGATTTTTGAGCCCCAATCTTTCAGCAATTTCTCTTGCTTGTTCATTTGAGAGGCATTTATCATACCCGGAATGATTCATCCATTCATTCATTCTCCTCCTCTTCTCAGTGTCCCCGATATTCATGTTCTTGATCGCATCGATGACACATTCGGAGAATGTCTTAAGCTGTGCCATGGCTAGCCATTTATCTTCAATGGCTTGGAGTTCAGCCCCAGTTTTTCCAGCAGCCATTGCTTCGGCTAACATAGTGGCCAGACTTTTCCCCCGAAGATTCGGATTAGTCACACCGAGAATAAACTGATGATCCCTGTTGTCGACATTCGTTTGGATCAAATTAGCTGCAACAGCATCGGTCCGGGCCACCAACACCGTCTCCACTCCCATAACATCGAATTGCAACCTCGCCGCAACGAGCCGATTAATGTGCTCGCTGACGGAAACAAGTACTTTACCAGCCATGTGACCACATTTTTTGGTCACGGACGACTGGTCCTCGATGTGGACGCCTGCAGCACCACGTTCGACGAAAAGTTTGCAAAGCTTAACAGTTGCAGTGGTGCCACCGAAGCCAGTATCCCCATCAGCTATAATCGGTTTCAGGTAATCAACATAAGGGGTTCGAGCCCTCTCCTCGCGGCTCATGCTCATTCTCGCCTCTCGCTGTTTTCGGTCATGGTATTGTTGTGCAAAGAAAAGGTGTTCGACTTTGTTCGGGACGGTATCGTAAGGATAGTCAGCAAGGTCCGGACCGGGCTCGTTGGTGGAGGTGTGAGTCGAGGAACATTGCCAACCAGACACATAAATCGAATCCAAATGCTTGGCCATCATGGTTACTTGGACTGGATCAAGTGCACCGAAAGTCCTTGAAGCAGTGCCATTTGCTTGATGTGTCTTGAGCGTTCTCCATAACTTCTTCGCCATGTCGTTCGAGCCATAGCTCTGCTTGAGGCTGCCTCGTAAAGCCACAACGTCCCGAGCCGTATACGGCCGTCGGGTAAGCTTGAACCTCTCCGAGTTCCACCATGCTTGCACCTCTGCTACTTCGGCTTCGTTTCTCGCTTCTTCTTCCGTTATCTGTCAATGGAATTTTCACACATTAAAAACATTGTTATTTGCTGGCAGGGGAAGCGAAACTTACCATTGAAAGCAGAGAGAAAGATGCAGCCATGGTTAGAACTTTTTGTTTTAGAATGGGAAAAAAAATAAACAACTAAAAGTTCATACAAATGCTGTGCTCTCCTCCTCTTCCGAGTCTCTCCATTTATAAGGAGAAAAAGGGCATCGGTTATCACCTCCCCCAGTTATTTCTTTTAGCATTTCTGACTCATTAATATTTATCTAAATAATTTATACGGGAAAAATTCATTATTTTGTTTGCATTGTTATCTTCAAGCTGCCCATAGAGGCACGCAATATAATGTCATTGTCTTGTTTCACTTCCAGTTTTGTTTCCTTTTTTCCCCTATAACCGATTTCTGGTTCTGGTTATGTTTCAACCCTGTTTAGTTTTTGAACGAAAACAATTCATGTTCCTGAGTACTTAATTATTGGGATTTTCATATTGAAATTTTGTAGCAATTAGGAATGGCCATGGATAAATCCTTCACTCGACCTTAACCCAATATACATCTTCAACCGGACTCGAACCCAATCTGAGTTTTTGAGATAAAATTCAAATTCGAACCGACTCGAAATAATATATTTATTAAAAAAATTATTTTTATTCAATAAAAATAGGGATTTAATTGAAAGAAAATAATATAGAGCGGGATATTATTGCAATTATCCCTAAATATATAAAATAAATTACAATTTTTCTAGTATGTTATTTTTCATACTAAATCCGAACCTGACCAGACACAAATCCGAATTTCATTTTAAAAGTCAAGTCGAGTCTAAACTTTTCGGATTCTGGTCCTATGCCCATCTCTAGTTGCAAACCAATTGTTACTGATTTAATCCTATATCCATCTTTAAACTTAAGAGTTAATTGCAACACACATCCTCAAACTATGAAGTTCTTTTTAAAATGGTCTCGAATATTTTGAATATTTTAAATTAATCTCTACACTTTTGAATATTTCAATTTCATTCTCGCACTATAACCCTCATTCTAAATTAGTTCTCAAACTTTTAAATTTTCAATCTCATCTTAAACTATCTATATATGATAATCATATCGCTTGTTAATAAAAATCATTAGGTTAAGCTATATTATTATATGTGAAAAAAATTAAGTTAGACTAATTACATATTTAGATGAGTTCGATGATAAAGTTAGAAGATTCAAAAGTTAGGGATCAAATTAGAATGAGGGTTATAGTTTAGGGATGGAATTATAATGTTGAAAAGTTTAAGGATCGGTTTAAAATGAGAGTTATAATCGGAGAATAATATTAAAAGATTATAGCATTTGAAGATCAATTCAAAATAAAAATCATAATTTTAAAATATATGATACAATTAACTACTCTAAAAATAAAATTAGTTAAAATAATTCTTATTTTTTTAATAGTGTAGGTAATTATAAAGTAATAGTTGTTTTAAAAAATTAGTCTATTAACAATACGTATACATAGCACAAACAAAGCTATTTTAGTGGCTTAAAGGGATGATTATTATTTCTAGAGATTCTGGATTGAACATCAATAATTGCAAGATATTTGAGTGTTTATTATCAAATGATTGAAATTTCTAAATAAATAAAAAATAATAATATATATACATCATATAAACACAATTATTTAAATTTTCTTACTATTATCCTTTTTTAAATTCAATAAACATGAAATATTTGAATTGAAACAAATATTTTTATTAAACTAAAGTGATTACAAAGTAGTATATGTTCTAAAGCATGGTTTTCAGAACCAGACCGGTTAGCGAACCGATCATGCTACCAGTTCACTGGTTCAACCGGTCCGACCGGTCAGAAGAACCGGACGACGTCATAATTATTTAAAAAATTAAATAAAAATACCAAAAATATTTAATAAAAAATAATTTTGTATATCACAAGTCATATTAAAAGCAAGTCATAACATATATAAGTTAAAAACCATAAAATCAAGTGAAACAAAATGATTCAAATTAACTACAACATAATATTTAAAGTAAAACATATTAAATAATAAATATAGTTATATAACTATAATTAAAAAATAAATTTGGGACTAAAAAAATCATAACAAAATGATATTGTTTGATTTAATTTTTTTTTAAAAACAATCCCCATGGCTAAGAAACATAAAAGAACATCCCAAAAGTCTAAAGAGTAAAAATATGAGAACAAAACAATCCCACATGGCTAAGAAACATAGAAGAGCATCCCAACTAACTTCTATAAATAATAGAGGTAATTTGTCATTCAAAATCATGGAGCCTTTTGGTGAGCATAGAGTGAACTATTCTTTCACTTCAATCAAGCTCGAATTTTAGGCTTCAATCGAGCTTCTAAATTTTTTTTTTTAGTTCAAGCCTTTTCAAGTTCAAGTTTTAATATTATATTTCGAGTTTGAGTTGAACTTGATAATTTTTAGTTCGTGAGTTTGAGTTGAGTTGAGTTGAGCTTACTTTTAAAATTTGAGTCTAGCTCAGCAATACTCGAGTTCGATTTGGCTCGTTTAACAAACGAAGTCGTTTGGTTTAATTTTTTTTAAAAAAAAAACAAAATTGGTGGTTTTTTTTTCCAGTTTTTTCCGGTTTTCAGCCGGTCCGGTTCGAACGGTTCAACGGTTCCGGCCAGTTCACTAGTAGTGGTTCAACTGGTGTAGTTTGAACCGGACTAGACAGCGGTTTCCGATTGAACCGGCCGATCTGGTCCGATTTTCAAAACACTGTTCTAAAATCTCAACCATTTGACAATAAACGTTCAATAACACTACTGCAGTCGCTAGTATTCAAACCTACATCCTTTAAAAATAATAATAATTCCTTTAACCACTTAAATAAGTTTATTCTACAAAATGAAAATAATGATGAAATAACGTGGAGAGGGTTTTGAACCTACAACCCTTACATCTATCAAATCAATTTTTTTTTATAAATTTGGGATAAATATAAAATAATATCTATTTAGAGATAAATTTTTAACTTTTGTTATTAAAGGTTCACACCTCTAATATATATCATGTTCGAACATGAATCTTAAGAAAATAACAATAATTCTCTTATTACATAAATCAATTGGTTCATCCATAGAAACAAAGTTAATAACACACTACCTATAGAATATAAAACATGAAAGGGTTAATGGGTCATTTTCTTGCGATTGCTCCTCTGCCTTGGGGATACCGTCCTTAGCCTTAGCCGATTGCTGACGAAACAAATAAGTTACGAGATTCCGGAAATTTTGACTCCCGAGAACGATTGAGCTATCCTTATCTATCTTTCCACCTCCCATTCCTACTTTATGTTTATCACTTTATTATAAAATTATGTATTTTCATAAGCTATAAATATTGAACTTTATATATATATATATATATATATAGCTTTTATAATTAGATCATAAGTTAATTACATGTGTTATATATATATATATATATTCAATTTTTATAATTTTTGTGTCAATAAATATTTTTAAAAAAGAGTTTTTATTAATCGAATGCGTATAAAATATAAAATATGACAATCAATATAAAACTCGTTAAAAAATCTTCAAATTTAAGTCTAAATGAAGAAAAAAAGAATGTGTTATGCCCATGCCTGAAACATCGATGATTTAACTGAAACCAACACTAAAAAAGCAACGAATACAAAATCCAACAACCCTTGGGAACTTACCATACAATCCCAATTGCAGCAGGAAAGAAGTAGACCACAACATGCACCCAAGTGCCCACTTAAAACAAGGGTGATGCACTGCCATAGCTCGTTCTCACAATTATTAAGTAATCTCAATCAGCGGTGGATGTATTAGGCTCTTCAGGAGACGGGAAAAAAATTAAATTAAATTTAATTTGTTAATAAAAATAAAAAATAAAGAAATTTGTGTACCTAAACTTTTTAAAAATAGAATATTATAATTTTGGACCCTTATTTTTTTAATTTTTAGATTCACCATTGATCTCAATCTGCTGCAAACCACAAAGCAAACTTTCTACAGCTCATGCAATCGTGTCAATAAGTAATCATATAAACAACTTGCCAATTCTATCCATTTTCTATTTGTTTGTGTATTTTATATGAAAATCATATTAGGGCAGAAAAAAATTCAGGAATTCTTGCAGAAGACCAAACCACACGCATCTTTAATAATTTGGATGAACACGTCATCTGTTATCCTGTCAATGATGTGTCCCTAGATAAGATAATAGAACTAGGAACATTGCATTTATTTTTATTTTTTTAATGTTTTAATTGAGGGTAAATTACATATTTAGTCATCAAACTATTACTTAGTTTTCGTTTGGGTCAGCCAATTAATTGTTTTTCAAAAGCATCACTAATTTTACGTTTTGGTTTCATTTTAATTGCTCTTCGTTAAAAATTAACAATGATGTCGATGCGCTATGTAATGTCACATAGTCATTGAAAAAATAAAGAAAAACATCACGTCAACAGCTTTGTTAATTTTTTAACTATAGATGACAAAAAAATGTGTAACAACCCAAATTTCGGGCTAATAGTTTCGAGTCTACCTGAGATGTATGTGGATCCCGTGGATTTTATTGATTAAGTTGTCGGGCTTAATTGGGTTGGATTAGGGCCTAATTGGGTTGGATTAGGGCCTAATTAGCCGAAATTGTTGACTATAAGACAAAATATGAAGGAAAAAAAGTGTAATTAGACCATTAATGGAAATTGAACATATTTTTTTGGGGGCTTTTAAGTGTTTTAACCGTGGGTTTCATTTCCCACTTCTCTTATCCTCATTCTTCTTCTTCTTCTTTCATCTCCCCTAAATAGCCATAGCTCCAAGGTAAGGTTTTGAACCTTTTTTTCTTGTTTCATTTTCATTCTTAATCCCCCTTATAACATATTTTTAAATAATCAAGCCTTGGTTTATTTCCTAGTTAAAGAAAAAGAGGAGTTTTCATCATCCATGCTTTGAGGTCATTTAGAGTCCCTAAAATCAAGGTAGTGTATTTCTAATCCTTAGGAGTATTAAGTTCTCATAGATTTCAAGTATATGCAAAGATTTGGTGATTTAAGCATTTTAGGGTTATCTTTGATTTATCA